TGCTCAGATGTTCTGTTTTGTATTGTGGAGCGCGAACATGCTGCGCGCCGCGGCGGCGGCTGCCCACCGTCCACCACTGAATTAGTTCCCGATTTTGGCAGGGAATCTGCCCAATGGGATGCTAAATTATGCCGCTAACTCCTTCGTCAGTTTTCACACCCACTGTCCGAAACTCCTAATACTCCTGCTAGATGTTGGAGATCACTGGGTGAGGCGGTGTCGAACTGCTGCTTCACATGGCCTCCTTGTGTGGAGAAGCAGAACCGAAATGGAAACGACAGTAGAAACTAAGTTCAGAAGGAAAGAAAACCAAAGCTCTGTCTCCTTAGAGGCTCCTTGTTTGAGACTGGAATTACCATAATCCGAAAGAACTATTCGCAGCAAAATGCGCTCCCTTTACTGGAAAAGCACCGCTCCTCAACCAGCCAATATAGAGTTTTTGCCGTACGTAGTACCACACCTTACTTATCTGGTTTCTACCATCCCCTTCATCCCTACAGGGTGCTGCAACTTCGTTATTTTTCGCGCTGGTGTTTTGCCTTGGGAGCTTTACAACACCTAGGAACATGCAACATTATCATGTCAAAATTTTGCCGCATCTCAGTGAATTGTGCCCCGACCGCCTGGTCTGCGTCTTCCGTCGTTTACATGAGTAAATGACACAAAACCGCCTGCGTCTCCACTAATATTCGTCAGTCCCCTCTCCCGAAGGTTTTGGATGATTTTGAAGGGCACCTAAATTTACTTTCTGTTGTCAACAACAATGACAGTCGGTCCTCTATGTTTTTGTGCAAAAGTGCGTCGTAATCAACAACTGCCGAATTGTCGTACGGATATTTAGCGAACAGGTTCCTGATCATGATATCATGAAGCAGTAACCCTTTTGTAGAAGTGTTTTGGTTGGTTGAAATTGTACACATCACCCTGGACCCTTCAAAGCGCCGCGCCGCCGGGTGGTCCCCCCAGCTAAGATAGCACCAACTTTCTATGTCTACAAATCAGAGCCGAACTCAAAAAAGTGTGGTCGTCATTGTAGGGATTATTGTTTGTTTTTGAGGTTTTTCCAATTAGTTTGTTGCTTAGCCTTTTAGGATGTACTGCACTGGCTGAAATACGTCGGGCCTCTGAGGACCTATGCCCACCCAAACCATCAGCTTAGATCATTCTTACAGTGACAGTTTAGTTGCCTGAGAGAAAAGCGATTATCTCGTAAAGCCTCTATATAGTATAAATAGACCACATAATACAAATCAAATCTAATATAGTTAATAAGCAGGTCTCATTTCCAGATGGTTGAGGGAGATTTTTACTGCTAGTATAATAGAAAGAACAGGAAAGAAGAAATAATATGCTTCATTGGCCGATGTCAGACTTCGCGAATCGAGCGACCCGCCAGTGCCGCGGTCGCGTCGCGGCCAACGAATAGCTCGATTAGTTGGTACCGCCAGCTTATCGCACGATTCGCAAAGCTTGGCATCGGCTTTCTATGCGCACTCTCTATGTACGTTGAAGCCGAGGCAAAATGTAGATCGTAGCGCGTACTATTTATGAAAAAGTCTATGTGGCCGCTGTTTTCGGCTGAATTATTCAATTTTTTTCTTATTTTTCGTATTTTTCTTGTTCGGATCTATAATTGGCAGGGAAGTGCTAAAGTTTTGGATATTTCAAAAGTAAAAGATAAATTGTTTTGAAATTATAGCCAACAAAAAATAAATATAATAATAATACAAATGTAATAGTTTTTCAATTAGTTATCTTGTAAATTATAATAGAATGTTAAGAATGCTGGGTTGTGAACAAAACTTTCGCCCCAGGCGGGACTAGAACCCGCACCTCTCGGTTCTAGTCCCGCCTGGGGCGAAAGTTTTGTTCACAACCCAGCATTCTTGTGAAACATTCGCAACGCGAACTGCGGCCAAAACAGCAGTTAACAAACAAAAACAAGTCAAAAAATCTCAATTCAAGCATCTTGATCACGGTCACGCATCCTATCACATATCATTCCATGGGTACACCGTGCGAGCGCGCACAGACGGTTAGACCGATGTCATAGTTTGCGAATCCAGCGATTCGCTACCAGCGACTCAACACTCTAAAAATGTGGGACCCAACGTTTAAAGGAAGTTTTTTCCCCTTTCAAACAGTGTGGTCCTTTGAAGTGGACTTCCTTCGAACGTTGGGTCCCGCCACTTTCAAACAGTGTCGAGTCGCTGGTACATCGTTCGATCCGCTGGTATCGGTCGATCCGCTGGCGCACAAAGTTCGATCCACAG